CGTACCATAAAGAATAAATGCTGAACAGTTTAGTTTGTGCCTTCAACTCATTCGCCCAAAGGAAGATGTTTCTTGGATTACAAAACGGAATATCTTCAGAACGGCTACCAATGACACAAAACTCATATGGGTGAGTAGAACATGATGGAATAACGTAAAATCAAGGGCTCAATGTAAAAAAAACTAGCATTCCCCTTTAAGTGCATTTTTTGAGGGCACTTTTTTTTTTCTTTTACTTTTTTCCTTTGTGGTCCACTAAGTAACCTACAAATCATTATCTTAGAGAGGAAAATACAATGGACAAGGTGATTAAGGGACTGTTGCTGTATGAATCAAATGCCATTATTTAATATAAAACATTTCAAGATGTAAATGTAAAATAACATTTTGTGTCTCTTTGTAAAGATGATATATGTATATATATATAATAAAAATCCAATTGATGTCCCACAGTGAATCAATTTTGGTGTTACAGCAGCAAAATATTACACACAACTATGGACCTTAAAAAGTTTATAAAAACAACAGAATAAGTTACAATATGTTAAAAAAAACGTTTTTACAAATATAATTACAGTGCATTTAAAAAAATAAATGATCAATATACAGCTTTGGACATTTTTACAGTATTTAAAAGTATTATTACTGTAAATATATATATATATATATTTCTCTCTATCTATATTGATAGTGAGGAATATGTGTATATATAAATCTGTGTATACATGTATAAATATGTTTGTGTATATAGCAGTAAAAAAAATATAAAAAGTATGAGTGGCTGTGCTTTGCAACATGCATACATCCTATCAGAATATTCTATTACTCTTAACCCCACTAAGGATTTTCAAATGCACTGAACTATTTGTTTTCAGCAAAAAAAAAACGTGAAAATAAATGGATTTAGTATTCAGTGGTCCTTCTGTATTGAGTTTGCATGTTCTCCCTGAGCATGCGTGGGTTGTCTCTGGGTACTCCGGCTTCCTCCCACAGTCCAAAAACATGACTGTTAGGGTAAATGGCTGCTCTAAATGCTCCTTAGGTGTGAGTGTGGATGTTTGTTTGTCCTGTTTGTCTCTGTGTTTCCCTGCGATGGACTGACGACCTGTCCAGGTTGGACCCCGCCTCTCGCCCATTGACTGCTGGAGATAGGCACCAGCACCCCTCACTACCCCAATTGGGATTAAGCGTGTCCGAATCGATGGATGGATGGATGGATGGATGGATGGATGGATGGATGGATGGATGGATGGATGGATGG